GTCTTGGTTAAAACGCCTTTGCAGCATCGCATAAACATCTGGGGCAGGGCCGCTGCATTGGCAGACTGGAGTGGTGGTTCCCCTCTTCAAAAAGGGGGACCGGAAGGTGTGCTCCAATTACAGGGGCTTCACTCTCCTGAGCCTCCTTGGTAAGGTCTATTCAGGGGTACTGGAGAAGCGAGTCCGATCGTTGGTCGAATCTCAGATCCAGGAGGAACGATGAGTGTTCCATCCTGGCCTTCGAACACTGGATCAGCCCTTTATCCTCACTACGGTCCTCGAGGGGTCATGGGAGTTTGTCCATCCTCGACATGCGTTTTGTGGACTTGAAGAAGGCTTTCGACCATGTTCCTCGGGGTACACTGTGGGGGGTGCTCCATGAGTATGGGATTGGAGACCCATTGCTACAGGCTGTTCAGGCCCTATACAAGCAGTGCGAGAGATTGGTTCACATTGCCAGTAGTAAGTCGAACCCTTCATGGTGGCCATTGCGCTTTGCCTGGGCTGCCCGTTGTCACCGATTCTGTTCATAACTTTTAAGGACAGAATTTCTCTGTGCAGCCAGGGGGTGGAGGGAGTCCAGTTCTGTGGCCTCAGGATTCCATCACTGCTCTTTGCAGATGATGTGGTCCTGTTGGCGTCATCATGCCGTGATCTTCAGCTCTCAATGGAGCGGTTCGCAGCCAAGTGTGAAGCGGCTGGAATGAGAATCGGCACCTCCAAATCTGAGGCCATGGAGCCCATGGTTCTCATGGTTCTCTAGTTTCAAGTGTCTAAAAATTACAGCATCTGATAATAATGTGCACAATCACAGTTTTATGAAAGAAATTTATTTTAATCAGCTTGTTCATGAACTTGTGCGTCAGACACTTGCTGCTCTTTTGTCCTCAGACACTTGATGCCTGTCCACAGAACATAGAGCAGGACGAGCATCAGGGCGGCCCCGACACCTGAGACGACACACACCATCACCTGAAACACTGCAAGACAGAGCAAATACCCACGGAAGTATTACGTAAGTAGTACTATTAGACATAAACACAGTGACCGTTACATTTAGCAGCATTTACTCAGTTTCTGTTCCTCGGATGAACGGTCCAATAGTTCAGTGGTGTTTTGGACCAGTCTAAGTGGCCCCATGGAAACCAGCTGGAGCTGGTGTGACACAGGGAGGACATCTCTTCTCTGTCTTTCATCTTCTGATGCTGTCGAAGGAAAATGACAGACACTAGAACTTCATGGCAAAGTGTAAAACACGTACAGCTGTGGTCAAAGTCAACATCCACTCATCAGGGGGCGGAGGGGCATACATTTGGGGGTTTTAATGATTGATTTAAAGTGCTTAACAATTGAATGCACAAGTTTTAAGTTTGTTAATTTTAGTTTTTCTGCACAGGGTCACAATTATATGTATACACTCAAAAATAAACAAATTTATCCCGTGTGGTATTTGATGACCCTATCAAGGTGCCCCTCACCACAGTCTTTTTGTATCTTTCAAGTGTCCTGCATAATTCTTGATATTTGGCTATTTTGCTGAACTGGAGAAGTTCATTTGAACTGGTTGATGTTTTGGCACCGACGCACAAATGCTCAGTTTTTCCAGAGGTTCAGGGCTTTGTGAAGGTCATTCCAGTAGCTTGTCGTTAGCCTGCTCTACCCATTTAGAAACCAGCTCTGCTGTGTTTGGAATCCTGTCAGAACATCTAATGTGTCCAAGTTTCAACCTGTTGATTTGAGACAAAGCTTATGAATTTGGAGTTAGTCCTCCTGCTTTATTACTCTACCCACTTTGTGCAATGCACCAATACCACTGCATGATGCTACCGCTACCATGCTTTATAGTACTAAGACCGTTTAAAAGTCTCACCTCGATTCTGTCAAACATCTTGCCAACCTCATGAGACAAAAAGGTTTTGTCTAGAAGCAAGTAGCTGCAAATATTAATTGAGTTTGAAGAAGCAGGGGCTTTTTTCTTGTTCAGCACCTTCTCAGTGTGTGGTGACGTAAACTTGCTTTACTGTGGACAAGGACAAGCGTGGTGCTCCAAGTTTCCAGTTCATGGCTGGCTTGAGCCTTGGTGCTTCTTGAATATCTCAGTTTTCACATTATTCTTGAGTATTGGTCATCCCAATGATTATGTCAAACAAATCCTATAACAGAAGCTGCCAGCTGCAGTCACTCGTGATTACTAACAAAGTTAATATGCCTTGGACTTGGTCAAGTAAAAAAAATAAAAAACTAGATCCTTCAAAACTACTTAAATTTAGACAAATGTATGTTTTTTATTTGAATTTGTATGTTATTCTCACTCTGTACATATTAAAGAATAAAAACAAAAAGCATCTTAAAGTTATTGAATGTGCATGCCACACAATCAATCTACCCTAGGAAAAAAAAAAAGATTCAGATCATAATAAGCCCCCCAAATTAACAACATTCATGCCAAAGAGACAATTTAAACGTCTAACCAACACAACCTAAATCATACTCACATATGATGGTGCAGCTCTGTGCACAATTGACATCATTTGTGCAGATTTCCACCCAGCAGTAAAAATACATCTAAAGAGACAAATTACACATAAATATGACTGTATAAATAAACATGCCTGTAACCCTGAAATATTTTAATTTGACAATCTTACTTCTTCCATGCTAGGATGGCCTGTTTTGGGGTCCAAAAAGGCAAAAGTCTTCACATCAAACCTCCTAAACGGAGACAGGTTGGTAGTATTCCACTGGCTGCTCAATGGAACAGAGCTTTTCATATCATCTTGAGGGTTAGGACATCTATCCAGGGTTAAAAATAAAAAAAAATTAAAATCTACTAAGATTGTGTTCTGCGTTCTAGCATCTCTTTCGCAGCTTGTTAAAGAAGTTGATTTTACCCGTCATGGAGAAGCGTCCACACAGAGTGTTTAGACACGGGATAGGCAAAGCAGTCCCGTACACGCAGGGAAAGGCTGGAATCTGGGGAAGGCTCCGCGATAGAAACCTCCACATTTACTGTTTCACGCAGCGGTAAGGTCAGCGGCAGCTTGTCCTCAGGAATAAAAGATGAAAATGAGTCATCTAAAAAGGAAGAAAGAATACAAATCAGATGCAGAGCTTAAGTGATTAGGAAACACAAAGAAAGGTTTAATACCTGTAGCTATCCTCATCTGCACCTTGATGGTTCCCTGTGCAACCACTGAAGGTGGATTGGTCATTGTATACAGTGACCTCAAGGTTTTTGCAAGCTTAAGATCCGATTCTTCGTACTCACACTGGACCTGGAGACTGAAAACACAACATGTTCAACTGAACACATGTATGCCAAGACCCAAGCTAGACAATTGGAAATAAAGT